CTTCAGTCTCCTCCATTACTCTTGATCATTGTTGCATTTTGGGTTTCAGAAATTCCGTTTACATTCTGTCTATGACACTCCTTTGACCACATCAGCCAAGTCCACCAATTTTATTTGGATACTGATGACGTCTTCCAGTTGTGGTCGCTGGATGAATTATAATCGAGTTATTGTTTATTACTTCAAATCCGGTGCACTCAGAGCCATCTAGCATTTTTCCTAGTTAAACTCTCCTTCCACTTGATCTGGTGATCTCTTCTCCTTCTAGTACAGTCTTCTGCATATTCATGTTCTATTGTTGCCTGTCTAATATAACAATATTGCCCTGATGTATTTCTAAAATAAAAGTCTTAAGTAAGCTAAATTTTGACATCTATTCATCCACCCAGTTCCTTTTCCCATGTAAGAGACATTTCTTCTGTGAAAAGAGTAAATATTACAGGTTGTTAGTAGTTAGTAACTTTTTATGTAATAGCTGTTTCTGTTTTGTCGCCACAAAAACAATCAAGTTAAATCTGCCAGAAGTTGATATGTTTGTTAATTTTCAAAACAACAAAGAGATATTAAATTTTTACAATCACACAATATTTATTTACAACAAATAAAAAACTTTATCAACACATGCTATTTATAAGCACATGACTCTTATGTCTATAACAGCAAGTGTCCCGATTAGGAATCCAAGGGTTTATAGATTGCATATATTTCTGCAGAAATGCTAACCTCACTTTGAGGACGTGGGTGTGCTATAAGACTAAAAGGCAAATCCCACTATTTGGATAAACAAAAGTAGCCCCAACGTTGGCAATGAGTATTGTTGACTAGCTACCTTCCCTCTAGTGTAGTCTAGTCTATACATTCAAAATAAAGGGTGGCTATTCAGAGAAATCCCAAGGGGAACTTTGCATGAAAGGTAAAAGAAATACAAACAAGTACGAGATAAATAGAGGATTAATCATCTTTTAAAAATAGCTCTTTATAATTGCAAATTTTACAAGTTAAATTTGTGAAAGCAAAGCACTTACGAAATAAACCAATTTCCTGTTATAAATGCACAACCTGAGGTACCCGTCTTTTGTCCAGGTTACTGAAGCAACGGGAAATTTTTGAGGAAATTTCATCCATTGCTTCTATGAATTTGAATAATATAAAAGTAATTAAGTAAGATATAATTAAAATGGAGACTTTAACAGTAAAAGAGAGTAAACAAGTCGAAGGACATATAAAAAAAACGAAAAGGACAAGGAGACGCCTGCGTATTATAAAAAATAAGCCTTGAGAGATAAGTAATCAAGAACGAGGTTAGAACTTCAGTAAGTAATAGCACAGCACATGCATAAGCTATAGAAACAAGCATAGGAGTTTAGTGACCGAAGGTCACAGTAGAGGCAGTTAACAACCTCTTTAGTCATCACTGTTCTAAACATGTTTTGCACACGAACGCCAACGTACAAGGCCAAGAAAGAGGATGTTGGCCTCGATTCTTTAGCACTGTAGAAGCTATAGAAAAGTTTATATTTTATGAATCATCTCGGTGCTTTGATGCAGTATCAGTTACAGTACATGGGTGTAGCAGTACAAGCAAGTAGGCAGCCGGCTAACAGCAGTTGCCCATGACCAATAGCCTGAGGGTTTTTGGGTGTGATACCAGATCAGCCCAGAACTTGCCTGCAAGCATCCAATAGGAGCACCGCACTACTTGTGGGTGATGCTGTGTCCTATTTGGATACTCGCCAGGATACAGAGAAATTCTGCTATATAAACCCATGTCAGGAGCTGGAAAGTCAGTTCCTCAGCGAGTTCTGAAGCTCTCCAGCTAGTTCAACCAGCCCTAACCATGCAACTCAACAATATTGACTCAGCTATGAAGGTTCCAACTCTGCAGTAAGTATCTCTCTCTCTAGATCAGCTTTTGTATAGTATATAATTTTATGGGAGAAGTGTTAGTAATGTTTAAATGTTAAAGAGTTAAATATAAACTATGTTGTCAAGTGTATTAAAGATTAATAAAAGTTATTTGTGAATAGTATTGCTGGTCTGAGACTCATATTCTTTAATCTAACTGTAAACTCCTGGAGTTAGCGACTTGTGGCTCCACTCGTCACGACAAATCCTCCAACAAATAAATTTGGTGTACAGGTTGGTTTTAATTGAAACTCCAACAATTAAGCTCACCTGAGCGCTAACCTGTTACATTATGAACTTAAAAAAATGTGGGAGTTGATGTTAAGTAATGCAAAATTCTATCTTGCACACAATTTATTTATAACCTATTATTACAGTGTTCATTATTACCTCGCCAAATGTTTTGTATAAGCTTTAAGAAGTCACTATGTATATACTTAAAATCTAGTTTACACTGTGCGATGTTCAGGGTCAATGTAGTGGCAGTAGCGGAGCTTTCTGTTACCCATTTCTTAATGTCCTTCTACACTGTTTCACGTTATAAATTAATTGAAGATTATTGGCCGCAGAAGTCGTAAGGTTACGGGTCAAATAAACGGCTCCTCATATCAGCATTATGGTGGCTGTTGTAGTATTAACTTCATCTAAGTTCATGTATTATTGCAATAGTGATGGCAATTTGTATTCATTGCATTCTTCCATAGAGAGTGCTAAAGCACTCTCCGAGATATACAAGACGTTTGTGTGCCCTCCCCACACTGTGTGTGTATATTGCATTATAGGCAACTTAATGCGCGCGCGTATGTATTTTCTTTATAGAAAGCCACATTGAGCTATCTGCTGTGTCCACCGAACCCCTAATTTTAATGTTCTTAATCTGAAGACTTATAGCTGTCCCACTGGTGGACGGAAATTTAAATAAAGTTTTTTCTTGTTTGGTGTAAAAATGTGGCACAATTTATGAATGTAGTAAACGTTAACTTACATCAGAGATAATAAATGCTCAATAGCAGTAATAATAGGGGTGGAGGGGGTTGTGAGCCCCATTAATATGCCTCTTGTTCCAGAATATCATACCACAATATTTGGTTGAGATTGGCACAGGAGTAGTTAGATAAGAGACAAATAGACAAACACACATATTTCTATGCTTTTATACATAGATATAGATAGGAACCAATTTGAACGAACTGTTACGATAGCGGAAGTCACGTGATGCTAGTAACATATCATGAGCTTCTAGAAAATTCACGTCCCTTCTTGAAGCTTCGAGTGCTTACTAGATGTACGGTATTCTTGTATACAAGACCACCAAGAACTGACGGCAACAATGTAGTTGAATTGCAGACAGAGATAGAGACGGACAGTTGGGTCGAGTGCGCGAGTCGTTCGTTGTGAATTATAGCGTTTGTTTAACTTATAGCGTGACCGTGGAAATTAAGTGTATTGCAAAGTTGTATTGAGAAAGAATAGACTAATTTTATTTAAGAAAGGACTTGTTTCGCTAAAGTTTCATCGGAAAGAAATTATACGGGAAATTAACTAACGACCAGAGACGTAACAATATTTACAAAAAAAAATTTGTTTTGGGTTATTAAATGAATAACTTGAAGTTTTCTTATAGTCAAATTTGCATATTTGCATACGCCATGTATTCATAGATCTGCAGCTGACCTAGGCCTGCTTCAAGGAAACAAGTCAAGATTTATTCTAGTGTTGGACTTATCTAGGGTTATTGATGAGGAATGTAATTTTCTCAAATCATTCTTAGTAAGTGACTAGTGAATAATTCAGGAATGGAGTAGCTTCACGAATTTTTTCTGTGAGTGACAATAAAAGCAAAATAAAAAACTGACTTTGCAAACAGTATGTTTGTTGTCAAGTGCAAAGCTACCCAAGGGCTATCTGTGCTCTGCTCACCATAAGTATTTGAAACCCAATTTTTAGCGATATAAACTGTCACACTTACCGCTGAGCCAACAGATGGCACAAATGGTTTGTAAATAGGATTTTACAGAAAGCAAAATTGGTTTCTTTGTTGTTTTAGGGAAAAGCCATATTGGGTTATCTGCTGTATCCTCCGTAGGGAATCGAACCCCGGATTTTAACGTGGTAATTCCATAGACATAACGCTGTTTCACCAGGGGACTACAAAATTGGTGACTTTAATTCGAATAACAATAGTCCAAAATACAAACAAAATAGTAAAAACGTATAAGAGAAGGTTTCCCACATCTTTACGCATCATTCATAGCCTTTCTACGAAATACTAAAATTCAAACAAAATGAGAACATACGAAGTTTTTCTTTGAAGGTGGGTCAAAATCCCCTGAATCTACTTAAATAGTCAACTAAAACATCTTCGGAACTAAAAGTTTGTGGATATTTACAGAGTTCAAAGAGTATAGCTATTGCAAAAGTCTGTCTATCTTGACAGATTTATCAGAAACAGCATGAATATTGACAGATACAAGAAAATCTTGATTCATCATAACACCACAAGTATTTGAAGAAAATATCTAGTGCCAAAATAAAACTTGACGTATCCCAACAACCCCTAGTGTCTGATGCTTCATGCTATCATTTCTACCAAGAATACTTACTGCTTGAGATGGGTTTGGAAACTTGTAAATTAAATCATCAAATGTGATATCACATCCAGTGTGAAGAATTATCAAAATTAAAATTTTTACTTAAATAAGTAAAGCAGAAATAGATTTATTTTGTAATTTTCAACCTGAATGGCACTTTATACAACGTGGGCCAAAACGGCCAGGTGAAAGACCCCTAGAATTCAGGTGTAGCCATTCCTAATTTGGAACAACTGATCAGATGGAAAGCAGCAGCTCATGATATAAGAACCTTGTCAGGATCTTTGAACTGAATAACAGGACCTACTACAATTCTTAAAATGAATCCACAGAAGTAAATGCCCAGCAAATTCAACAATATCATATTTTGACTGCCAAACTAGTTGATTCACAACCTTGCACAATAATCAATAGGCCATTACTGGTCTTGATTCATTTTGAACAATTTTAATAGTGCCCACACACACATATATGTTAAATTAATTAAGACTGACAACAAAGATGTAAAGAATTTCAATACCATTTTATTTTTATGTATTGCAACTTTTTCTTTCAAATACAATGACAAGTTCACAGTGTGGTGTATGAGGGAAAAGATCAACAGGAATAGCAACCACAGGTACAAAACAGTCACCTCTGTAGTTGTTGGAGGCTGGTCTACATAGGCTGTAATAAACAAAAGCACTTTATCAATTAAAAATTGTGAAATAATAATCAGAAAAGAAAAAGCTTTATGAATATTCAATAACTTTTTGCAAACATTTTTCAAAAGAACACTGCAAATGGTGAGTTTAATAATAATCTGGTGTCAAACACACTACAAGTAAAAGAGATAGGTTTATACTTTCAAAACTAAAAACTGCTCCTTTACACAAGGTATCAAAATGTATCTTTTACAGTTATTTACATTATATCAATGACAGATTAAAAGAATGAACACAGGAAGAAGTCAAAAATTACATGGGTACATCTCAGTTCATATACTTTTCAATATTGTTTTCAGTTCCCAATTATTTCCCCCTCCATAAAAATAAGGAAATATATATATATATATATATGAATAAAAACCCCATTACCCAAGCACTTTCGAAAGGTGGACCTTTTTTCTTCAGGGGCATTCCCATTTGCCCCTGAAGAAGAAAGATTCACCTTTTGAAAGCACTCAGATTATACAGTTTTTATTCATTTCTATCAAGAGTTCTTGAACCTACATGTTTTTCAAACATCATGTATATATTCATCTCAACCATTTCTGTCACTTTTTATGGTTTAATTTTATAATGTGCTTCTCCTTCTTTAGCTTTTCAATTCATATTCTTATATTTTTATGAACATTACATGTATAGCATTGGACAAAAAGTTTTATATGCCCATCTTCCATGTTTTATTCAGCAATTCTTTGAATAAATTAACATTTAGCACAACTGTTGTTGTAGATAATTGGATATTTTCAAATTTAAACACCAACTCTTTAATTAAGAAAAAATATGTCATGTGTTTATGTGTGCAAAACTTTCTTTGCATATGTAATTTTCAACCATTAAGATTTCCTTCTTCAGATGAATATATGTCAAATAAGTCTTCTCTATTAATTTCAATATCTTAAGTCCAGAAATCATAGAATTTATCATGAATATACATCTTTTTTAGACAATTTTTGAAAAATTGATCTCACAACAGAAATATGAATGTATATAGTTAAAGAAAATCTTTTAAGTCATGATAAGGACATCATTAAAGCAATTTTTAAACATTTTTTAAATATATGGGTAAAACAAAAAACAGTAAAAGATATTTAATTAAGAAAGTGACTTTTCTCTCTTATTTTGTAAAATTACTTTGCAGTTAGAATGATAGTATTCTCCTATTAATATGATGGTTTGAATTCAATAGACTCATTTTGCAATAGTGTTTTGTTAGATTAGATTTGATGGTGATAACATTAGTGCTTTATATGGCTTATTTACTATAGGTAGTTCATAATTTCAAGTAAGAGGCCTGTGTTAGACAAATCAAAAGCTTTTCTTAGTTATTTCAGAGGCAGTTAATTCATCAACATGTAAGATACATAAGTTGGAATCAAGAAAGATGGATAATCTTTGTTTTTTATGATATAGAACCTCAGATATTCTTATAAAGAGGGATGTTGATAGAAGAAGTAGTTTTGAAAGTTAATTTTAAGTTTCAACATTTGTTGTTATAATCTGTAAAATTAAAATTAATTGTGTTTCAAGAAATTGTGAATTAATAACAGGAAAGTGTTCCTGGTAATTTCAAACCTAATTTTTCAAATTAATTATATATAAACAATATTCCTTTATTATCAAACATCAACTGAAGGGTACATATTGTCTGTTGCAGTATTATAGAGAAAATGAAAAAACAAAGGAGAAAAATTCACTTACTCAACAAAATTTGTCAAGGCAGTCTCAGGACTGCATGAAACATACACTAAATGATGTATCTGTGTGGTTGCTCTGATAGTCTTGATAACTTTTATTTCTGTTTTATAAAAAACAAACAAAAAATTGTATTATTTACAATTTAAACTATTTATTCTGCTTCTAAATAATGAATTTGGTTTAATCAAAAAACATAAAGATAACACTTGTTGGATATGCATAATTTAATCTACACTCATTATTGTAGCATGTTATTCTAGAGTTTAGTTTATCATTATTGTAACATTGTATTCTAGTATTTAGTCTATCATTGTTGAAAGATGTTATTCTAGTATTAAGTTATCATCATTCTCACATGTTATTCTAGTATTTAGTTTATCATTATTGTAACATGTTATTCTAGTATTTAGTCTATCATTGTTGAAAGATGTTATTCTAGTATTAAGTTATCATCATTCTCACATGTTATTCTAGTATTAAGTTATCATCATTCTCACATGTTATTCTAGTATTTAGTTTATCATCATTCTCACATGTTATTCTAGTATTTAGTCTATCATTATTGCAACATATTCTATTATTTAGTCTACAGTCATTATTATAAAATGTTATTCTAGAATTTAGTTTACAATGATTATCTTAACATTATTCTAGTATTTAGCTTATCATTATTGTTATTATGTTATTCTAGTGTTCTTATTTAATTAAATCTGGCAAAGTCAATGTGGTATAGTTATTACTGTACAGTGTCAAGCTTACCATCAAGTCAGTGTGGTATAGTTATTACTGTACAATATGAAGCTGAATATCAAGATAACGGAGTATTGTTACTGCTGTATATTATGAATCTGAGCTTCAAGTCAATGGAGTAAAATTACTACCAAACAGTACAAATCTGAGCTTTAAATCAATAGAGTAGTAAATACTGTACAGTATGAATCTGCACTTCAAGTCAATGGAGCTTTACAACTTAGCTTCTCTGTTACTGTGAAGTAAATTATGTAATTTTTAAAAATTTAATATTTAAAAATGGTCCAAAACACGTGAAAGGTACAAAAGATTTGCACCATAATTTAGATTTTTGGCTAAAGAGCAATTGCTAATTTGTCCTATGACCACTATGGCAGCAATTTTACAAATGGACAATAATGACTGCTTTGAGCTTCTGTGTATGATATATTGTAATATCTTTGGTGAATGTTATAGTTTCATTTTTTAATATTCATGTTTTAGTAAGCGATCACTCAATGCTTGCCACTTAGGGTGTAATACATCTCCTGTATGTGGATTTCAACATGCAAATATCAAGCTGCTAACTTTGCAAATAATGACAAAATATATTTGATATTAACAATACTATCTACTAGCTACATTTTATTTTTGTCTATTTTTGTAACATCCAAGCCTTTTTTGAATGAACGAAGATAGCCAAAATAAATCAGACACTCAACCATGAAAATTGTAGTACCTCAGATATACAGTGTGTGACACACTGGGATAATCTGTCCTATATAAGAAGGATACATCTGAGGTGCCTTAATATTCGGCCAGCTGCTTGACTTGAGTAGCATCGGTTTCTTGCCAAGCACAATAGATATATCGTGATTAAACAATTGTGAGGGCATCAAATCAACTTTCAGAAATCACACTGCCAAGTGGCACAACTCTGGTATATTGATATTGAACAAAGCAAATCTTTAGCAAGCATAGAAAAGGAAAATACCACGTGAATAAAATACTGATGTCTGCAAGATGTACTCCTGATAAAGCTTGGAACACACTGCCCTTTGGACTTAAACACGTTTCTTCTGTGACAGACATGCACCCGGGAAGACTCTGCACATGCCCTCAACATTTGAGCTTAATACCCCTGTACAGGCAAGGTTCTGCTAGCTACACTGAGTACAGGAGACCTGATAGCCTAAAAGTCTATATACAATGTTCAGTGCTTCCTCTCTCTCACTACTGAGTACCAATACTTTAAACCAACAGTCAAGTTATCAGCACACATCACAAAGGTGTACTATCTGCTAAGCCCAGAGAAGTCATTGGTCTTGCCATATGCATACATGGGGAGGCAAACACATGCATCCTGCTATATGTCAAGATGACGTGAATCAAGGATTAATAAGGTGTTCATATGCACAACTAACACTGATGTAGTAATTTTACCAGTAATCTCAGTCCAGCACATCAACATCACTAACTGTGAGTTGTCTTTGCCATAGCATAGTGTGGATCTTCAGCTTATGAGATGAATAGAGAACTGTTTCCTGACAAGTGTCAAGCCCTGACCATGTTCCACTCTTTCACTGGATGTAACATGGAGTCATCTTTTCAAGACTGGGTAAAAAAAGACAGCAAAGGATATTTGGAAGTATTTTGATTAAGCCACACCAGCATTATATACTTTGGCTTCTAGATGACTGGCTGGGGATATCAAAACATTTTGTTGTATTTTTGTATGATAGAACCAGTAGTCGGGAACATGTCAGCAATACTAAGAAGTATCTCTTCTCTCAGGTGTCCTTCCTTCAAAACAAGCTACATTACTTCATCACACCAAGAAAGTTGCCTAACAAGTTGCTCACTGATGGGCACAGATTGTGCTTTCTGTGCTTGAGCTTTCATCTCCTAGGGAATGGGGATAAAATAAGAGTGACAAAGGTGGCTTTAATATAAGGTGGACAACTCTTTCAGAAGTTATGTATGTCACCAACTATTTTGCTGTAGTTGAAAAACGATTGTAAAAAACCAGGTAAATGCATCAAGTGTACTGCTCTTTGCAAGTGCAGTGGAATATGTGGTTCTGAACAGATTTAAAACTAGTGGAGAGCTTATTTGTAATTAAGCATAAGGCTACACAATGGGCTATCTGTGTTCTGCCCACCATGGGTATCGAAACCTGTTTTCTGGCATTGAAAGTATGCAGACATACAGCTGTACCACTGGGGGATATTAGTGGAGAGAGAAATGGGTACTTTTCAACTTTGTTATTACCAATGAATCTTAATAGCTAGGTTTCATTAGTCAGTTTTTAGATTTTTATTTTTTTTTACACTTATTGGCATGTCAAAATGAATAAAAGTTGATATAACACTAAGGTTTGAAGCTTGCAACTCAAACACTTGATGCACATAATTTTGCTACTAGCCAACAGTGACCATTTTTTGTATGGCCACCATATCAACTATAGAAAAAATCTGTGATGGACCTATAACCAAAAATCTTTATTAAGGCATGTCCTATGTATGTTCCAAATTTTATGTTTTTATAACTAAAGGCACAATTCTTACACATATCTTGTAGAAAATAAAATTCATATTAAATATTAAAAGCTATATTTGTTCTAAGCCTATGTCATGATACTAAAGTACAAAAAAATATTTTTTAAATATTCATATTTTATATTTCTCTAAATATATAATGAATCTGACAATATAAAACAAAAAATATATTTACTGTAACAAAATATCCAAGTCCATATGATTCATAAAATGCACCAAAACTTGATATTTGATTTTTCTCTTACCTCAAGGGTAATAATACTTGTTTAAGTACATGTATATGGTGGAATAGACTATTGCATGTTTGAATAAAGGAACAAAAATATTCATAATGAAAATGGTTATTGAACTGATCAAAACCAAAGATCAATTAAATGTTGTTAATGGTGCTATCTAACTGATGAAACAATGCATTCTGATAAATATAAGTTGTACAGATGAACATTATATTCAATTAGTTATGCTCTTTATTAGATATATATATTTTTAGTCCTGTAAGTGGCTTTGATTATATGTTAAATACTATGGTTATTAAAATTCAAAATGTGTGAGAGATTAGCCCAATATCATGCATTCACAGAACAAAAAATATTGTAAAAGCTATATGTAAGATCACAAGGTCAAAAGGAAGAGCACAAAACTGGAAGACACGATACAAATAAACAAAACGAAGAAAACTCCTGGAGGATGGGGTGACCAGAATGTGTAAAAAGATATCCAAAATAATGACCTTGGTCATCTTCAGCCCAGGTGAAAAGAACCACTGGAGAGAAAAGTAACCCTCCTTGCAGAACTAAGGGATGACAAGAAACCAGTTAAGAGGCCATTTCTTGGTCTTTTTGGGGACAACAAAGAGATGAGAAAAATAACCAAATGTAGGGCTAAGTATTCTCTTGATTGTATTCATGGCCAAGAGATCTGAGACTGCATCCTTGAGATGCTGAAGATAAAGAGAATCAGTGGGAGGAAGAAAAAACAGTAGGAGGGAAGAGAAGTGGGGAGATAGGCCATGGATGAGAACCTGAAAACCCAGCTGTTGGACAAAAATGGATACCAAAGGCTGGTAATGAGAGATGGTTTCTACAGGACCAGACCCAACATGGTAGTCAATAATGAGATGAGCAAAAACTCTGACATTCGGAAGTGGGAGGACAGAAAGAAAAAGAAGTCTGGAAGGTAGGAATGGGAAGGGGAGACATGGATTCAGCAGGTCTGGGAACAGGAATAGAATAGTGAAGTTGAGAAAAATGAAAAATCAATGTAGACAATGAGGACTGATGCTGGGATGCCTTGACAAGTTCCCCAGTGAGTCAGGAACACCCCCAAAGACCTCTGACAAAAGAAATGGAGTACAATGAAGATCATGGAGCTAAGCATAAGGAAGATATACATTAGCTAGTAGAGCATCCCATCTTAACAGCAGAGAAATCAACTAAGAAGAGACATAACTGAAGATGAAGTGTAGGTGAATGTGGTGAAAAGAACAGAATGAACCTCTCCAAACAAGCTATCTGGAGTGTGATGAGTGCCTCAGACATACAAGGTTAAGCAACAAAATTCAATGCAGGAGGGTGGTAAGAAAAAGACAAAAGGTAAGCATTTCAGGCACTAGAAATTGAAATAGAAGATAAGGGTCTGCCCCCAAGCAGATAAAAAAGATTCCAAAGACTGAGAATCGAGGAACAGAAATAAGGAATGGCTGTAAGCCAGGATAAAAGAATCAAGTAGGTGAGGAAGACGAGTCTTGTTAGTACAGATGACCAGTTGTTCCGAGAAGTGAGTCTCTATGGACCATAATGTCAGGTAAAGGAGTGAAGAAACAGTATTTTTTATTATAAGTGGGAGAAGTTGAAAGAAAGGAATGCACCTGTGAAATCGTGTCAAGGAATTGATTAGAAGTGTGGGGATTTTCATTCACAGATAAAGCTGTGCCTGGCGCGGAATATAGCCGGCCAAAATCGTCATGTTCAACTGGGTAGAAGGAATGTCAGCTGAATAGATGGAAATAGGAGGCCCTGTGTGCAAGATGAAACACACAACACTTTGAACAATTTCTATCATGTCCTCCACAGAAAGTCTCCAGTAGCCATAGTAGACAGATTCTGTATTAGTAATGTTGTCACTATCATCGGACAAAATGGAACTTACGGTCGCTTAAGAATTCATAATAATGGGAAAATCACCAAATACATATTGCTTTTTCTTTTTCTAACAGAAGTTTGGGAAAAAACACTGGTTATGTGAATCATGAAAACTAAACCAGGTAAACAGTTAGAAATTATCATAAATCTCAAGTAGTTGATTAACATTGTTGAAACACACCCATTTTAGACAACGCCAAGGAAAAAAATGAAGTTAATTTGAGTGCAAGTGCTTATATAGAGCTACTGCACAAGGAAGTTGTGTCACCCTCATATTAGTGGAGACCTATTGTTGCATGATGGTGACATCATGCACTAGTGTAGTTCACATTAAACATGCGTTTTTTAGATGAGAAGTATTTCAAAGCTAGTTGCATGCACATCTCATATGTAGATGCACAAAGGAATCAAGCTATTCTGTGTGAAGTGAGGTATTGTCTTGGAACAAGAATTTTGAGGGTCACAAAATAAAAAACTAACCAGCAAGCCTATGCAATGCCTTAACCCTTTCATTACTGCTTCGGAAAATTAAACTGACCACATGACCCTAAAGTGATTATCAGTTTCTATATAATAACTTTTAAAATGTTTGTGTATCTTCACAAAATTTTTGAAATTTTAATAAACACAACAAGTCTTTCGTACATAAAAAAATTTCAATTTTAAATTAAGTATTTTTACTAAAGATTTGTCAGTGAATATATAGAGTGAGAGTGTTGACTGCTCTGAATACAAAGTGATTTTCATGTTAAGATTTAAAATATTTTTCTTCATCTGAAAATTTTCAAGCTTTATTTCCATAATCTCCAAAACCTCATAAATAAATATCACGTTTCTTCCTGAAAATTTTTATATTTTATCTGTTATTTTTTCTACCTTAACTCTAAAAAGGGTTGGTCAATTTCACTGACCTCGTAACCACTATAAAACTTTAAAGGATGAAAAAATGAAATAAAGTGTGTAGTACTGTTCCATCCTCTTTAGTATTGACCATGAAGTTCCAAATATCTTCCTTTGACAGTTTCTACTTCTAATCTTTTCCTATCTATTTTCTATGTTTATTTTACTGCTAGTTTCTAATTCGTTAACCACTATAGACATTGTATGGTAGGCATTACAAAATGAGCAATAAGACAAGAAGGCATGCCATATGACACACAAAAAGCATATTTGACATTTGTTTTAATAATGTCTTTTGAATTAAGAAATTAAAACATATATAATATTAAAATTTGAATTATAAACTACATTGTGACTATTTTTATTGGCTCTCTAAACATCATGACATGTTCTTTGACCTGTCCGTAGAAAGAGGGTTAACTAGTAAATCTGAAACTCCATCTTGAAAGAATTATGCCAATGTAGCTTACAAATACAATCTCAAGAGGTTATAGTTATAGAGTTAATTTCATACTATTTTACGGTTCATGAGTAAGCCTTACTATACATAATCTTCTTTAACATTTCAGAGTGGAACACCTGTAGTGTATTATATGCTGATAACATGTCTTTTTGTTGAAAATGGTATAAACACTATTAAGATATTTTCTATATGAAAGTTAGTGAGAAAAAAAATCCATAAGATATACTTAGAAACAGAATGACAAATTTTTTTGAAGTTGAAACATTTGATTTACATGTTACGTTGTTTGTTTGGAATTTTGTGCAAAGGTACACGATGGCTATCTGCACTAGCCAACCCAAATTTAGCAGTGAAAGACTAGAGGAAAGGCAGCTAGTCATCACCACCCACCACCAACTCTTGGACAACTCTTTTACCAATGAATTATAATGCCCCACGGCTGAAAGAGCAAGCATGTTTGGTGGGGTGGGTATTCGAATCAGCAACCCTCAGATTGCGAGTTGAGCACTCTAACCACTTGGCGATGCTAAAATGTTATGTTAAAAAAAGTATCAATCACAATTATAATGACTACAAAGGTTTCCATCCAACTGAGAACAAACAATTGAAAATGTCTGCTAGTATTATTTACTATTGAACAAAACATTTCAAAATGTTCACAGTGAATATAGATGCAACATATTCCTCAAATTCCTTAGAAGAAAATGAAACATTAATCTCATGTGTAACAAAGGAAGAAAAAACTCGATATGTCTAAAGCCATTTGGCAAGCAACTACAACATCATTTTGTTTGAATAAATGATTTGTGAAATAAACTGTGTTCATTATTATTATCATTATGGAACATTTCTGTCTGATAATCTATAAGTATATACATGTATACTGTTCTATCAATCCTACAAAATCCGATTTAAAACAATAACAGGATAATAAATACACTGATGTAATTCTAATGTTTGTGAAAAGAAGTGACAATGTTTACATTAATTAGTTTGTACTTCACCAGATCATTTGTAAATGTTAAGTAAGTCTCATGCTTAGAGGATAAGTGGTTTGATGTGCACGCTCATGCATTTTAAAACCACAAGGTTATAACCAAATGGTATCACATACAGACAACAGAAAACAAAATAGGTTAAAACTACACTGTGGGAGAGATAATGTGTAGTTAAAAAGGGATACACTGAAGTAGACCTTGCATTCACATGGTTATGATATTTGTTTACCTAGATACAGCTGAAAAATACAAACAAATATTTCTTATGTATATATTTTCTTTAATGCCTGGTTGTAAAGAAAAAAAACTTAGAACATAAGACGTACGCAGCCCTGCTCTTGGAGGATCCACTATAGCCACAATGTTAGATGATTCTGCTTTCTCGATTACTTCATGAATCATATCTTCAGCTTTTCCACAAATAAAATCCACATTATGGATATCTGCAATTCATGCATAAAAGCTATGTTAAAAGTAAGTAAGCTGAAAGGCAATGAAATACATAAATAACCTTGTGGGTTTTTGTAATTTGTGAACTAGAAGTACCAGAAATCGTACAAAACATAGCACTTGTTTGTTAGATTCAATTTCAATTTGTATATCATTTAATATAAAAACATTAAAAAAAATCATCTACTCCAATAGATAATAAATAAACCCAAAACAGTTAATATGTACACTCGTCAAACCTATTCATTATCAGTAGATGCATTATGTATAATTAAATTACACAACTTGTGGTTAATTTAATAAAAGTTTATAAAATATTTATAACATCCTTACTGTAGTTCTGTGTAATGTTACAAATTACTTAAAGAATTTCTGTATGTATTTTCAACAAATAAATGTTTAAAGAAACTAGCAATTCAATTAAAAAGAATGATAACCATAATTTTCTATATGAAAATATACCCTAAGAAACAATCTCTTATTGTAGGAAGAATTAACCCAGAAAACAATCTTCTACTACCTAAACATAATACTAAAAAACTGTCTTTCTTTGTATGAAGGATTTACCTAGGAAACAATCTTCTGCTGTACGAAGAAGTTACTTAGGAAACAATCTTCTGCTGTATAAATAGTTTAACTCCAAAAAAATATTTTGTTGTGTGAAGAAGTTAACAAGGAAACAGTCTGCTGTATGAAGAAGTGTATATCTAGGAAACATTCTTCTGTTGTATGAGTAAAATATCAAGAAAACAACCTCCTGCTATATGAAGAAGTATTTTCTAGGAAACAATTTCTGCTTTACAAAGTTCTATAGGAAACACTTTTCTGCAATTACCTCAAGAAAATAGGTGGTTATGCCAAAGGTTGCACTGTCTAAACTCTTTTATTAATCTATAAAATGTATATTTGACTGGTAACAGAATATGGTAATGCTGTGACATGTAACATGTTAAACAACCTATACCAATCACTAGAAGCACTTTAGCTAAAAGTGATCAGACTTTCATACTGCCTTCTTTTTTTATACACCAAGGACATACTTTCACAAAACAAGCAAACTGAAAACATCTAATGAAAGAATCATCAAACTGGCATCCACATATCATAAAAATTCAGAATATCATAATTCCCTTTTAAGCAAAACCTCAAACTTAGCTGAAACACCATTACGTGGAATAACCACATATCCCCCTACAACACTACAAGAAAACTTAATAATACACACCAACCACCTTGAGCATTTACTTTTTTCCACAACCTTCCTTTTCAGGTTCCTGACCCAGTATGCAAAAAGACTCGATCAGAACTCAACGTTCAATTGTTAACTGTCATTAACTCAAACAATAGTGTTCAATTATTCAAAATAATTTTGTTGGTTTAATTCCCTTGATATGTTGTTAGTCTGCTATTATCAGTAGATATGTTAAGTAAAAGTTACAGCATTTACTCTTTGTGGGCAGAGTGCGAGGACCCTCAGGTGGAGCAGGCATCTGAGTATGATCTCCTTATGTTGTACATTGTGAAAGAGTTGTAGTGTGCCAGACAGAAAACGTAAGTAAGAAACTAATGAGAACCCTTTTCCGAATTTGTCTCCACAGCCCTACTGGATCACTTAAGATGGCAGTCAAGAAACCACACATTAATTTCTAGCCACCTTAACATCATTATTGACCAAACCAACATTCACACAAGAGTAATCATAAATTTAATCATGAGTGAGGCAAAGAGAAATCTTAGATTTCAAACCAACCCTGGTTCTACACTAAAACACTCCTACCAAAAGAACAGAGAACACTTTTCTGCTGAATGAACAACTTATCTTGGAAACAATCTTCTGCTCTACAAAGAAATTAACTATAAAATAATCTTTTCCTGTATGAAGAAGTTAACTCAGATATACTCTCATACTATACGAAGAAGCTATGGAAGAAATTAATCTTCTGCTGTGTAAAGAAGTTACCTACAAAACAATCTTGTGCTGTATGAAGAAGTTATGTACAAAACAATTTTCCACAATATGAAGAGGTTATCTACAAAGCAATCTTCTGCTGTACAAATAAGTATTTATCTAAGAAACAATATTCTAATGTATGTAGAAGTTATCTAGGATAAAATATTCTCCTGTATGAAGAAGTTATCTAACAAACAATGTTCTGTTGTATGAAGAAATATTTATCTAGGAAAATTACACAACACACAACATTAAAATAGCATTATTTTAATGTTGTGTGTAATTTACTTATTATTTTGACATTATACACAAGTGCTAAGAAAATATATATATATATTTATCTAGAAAACTATCTTCTGCCATATGAAGACGCTATCTAGAAAACATTTTTCATCGGCTGTATAAGAAGAAGATATCTAAGAAACAGTCTTCTGCCATATAAAGAAGCTATCCAGGAAACATTCTTTTGCCATATGAAGAAGCTATCTAGGAAACATTCTTCTGCCATATGAAGAAGCTATCTAGGAAACATTCTTCTGCCATATGAAGAAGCTATCGAGAAAACATTCTTCTGCTGTATAAGAAGAAGATATCTTAGAAACAGTCTTTTGCCATATAAAGAAGCTATCTAGGAAACATTATTCTGCTGTATAAGAAGAAGCAATCTAGGAAACATTCTTCTGCCATATAAAGAAGCTATCTAGGAAACATTATTCTGCTGTATAAGAAGAAGCTATCTAGGAAACATTCTTCTGCTGTATAAGAAGAAGCTATCTAGGAAACATTCTTCTGCCATATAAAGAAGCTTTCTAGGAAACATTATTCTGCTGTATAAAGAATTATTTATGTATTTATTTAACTAGCTAGCTAATAAGCTTCTTCTGTAATAAGTTATTTAAGAAAAAATCTTCTTCTGTATGATGAAGATATCTAAAAAACAATCTTCCAGTATGAAAAACACCGTCCCAGAAACTATCTTCTGTGGTATGACGAATCTGCCTAGGAAAACCTCAGTTAGCTACAATGCAGCATTTCACTTCCAGCTTTCTTGTTAGAAGTTTTTCAGCAGTTCATATGTCATAGTAGTAGTGTAAAATAGGTATATCTTATCACACTAAAGCAGGTAATTAAATGACAACATGCAATGTAGAACAAAGTCTCTCACCATTGCTTAAAGGCATAACTTGACTTTTACAAAAATCTTCATAACAAAACACAATGTATTAAATTCAATTTAAAACAAATTTATGTTTCACTATATCCTTATTTTTCATTCAAATTTCATGATGTATGTCTGAAAACTGATATTTCCAGCTTTAAAATACACATTTTTCATGGGAAAAATAGAAAAGGTTGTTACAGAATTGCCTGCAAGTTATACGTTTCAGTATAATCAGAACTACACTGTTAACTACTGTACCTGTTGCTTGGAAAAAGGAGTAAAAGGAAAATGGCAAAAACTCGGAAGGAAAAATAGAAGAAGAAATAAGAAAGGGGGATATAAAAAATTGGGGAAAGAAACTGTTTATTGACTATTGAGTCTTGTTGCTGAAACCTCTGTAATGCTGCTGTCAGCCAACTGGCTACACTGAAAAATTAGGAAAGAATTTTATGAACCTTAATTGAAGGTATGGAAGAAATCTGAGATTTTTTGAAGAATATTTACCTGATTCAATAAGTTGTATAAATCAAATTAAATCATAATACATACAGTGATGAATTAAGATTGTACCTAAAAAATCCACAATAATTAAACCTAACTCACTCTTCAAAACAACTCAATATTTGACTCTACATTTCTTTATAAGATTTTAGATACATTTATTTTCTAGATACTTCAAAAAGGCACAGCAATATAATACACAATGCAATAATACATAAACTTCATATGCCAAGCTATAGATAATGTTTTTTTTTTCTTTCCCTACTTTTAGAAAAATTTGTCCCATGTCATAATCTTTTTTACTTTATGTTATTGTGCAGTGTTAAATGCCAAAAGTTGGTAAGACAGTGAAACAAATATATTTAATATTTGTGTCTAAAATCATACTAGAATACAGTCATTTCTTCCACATTCCTTTTAATTAGTTTATTGAAGATGTAAATTAAAACAGAGGTGTGTAAAAATACCATTTTGGACATTTTTCTTGCCACAAGTCACTGCTTAAGAAGGTCTTTCATTGAATACCAAAACTCACCAGCTGAACTGAACATAATGGCAACCAAAACTACATCCAAAGTGCAAAGTTATATGCAAGTATGTAAAATTCAATGTTAAAGTGCTAAATGCTGAAACATAGCAAAATAGTGAAACCAATAGACTAACATTTGTAATAAAACTCGCACTTGGTTATAGAAGGATTTTCCACCTTTTGCTAATTTAGTCCATTTTTTAATTTATACCAGAAATGTTTAAGAAACATTTTAAATTTATCATGGATGAATACATCAATAAAAAAGAGGAAATTATTACTGCAAGGGAAATAATGACAGTGATGAGGGATTGAGGACTCCAGAAGCCAGAGAGGCCTAGATGGTCCCAAATATATTCTCAGCATTTTCCTAGCATTAGAATGAGTCTTTTAATGTCTAAAGTTTTTTTGTTTTGTTTTTTTTACATCTTCTAATTTTAGTTTAATATTGATTTTTTCAACTTCTTTTATTGCTGTTTTCTCATTTCAAAACATTTGCTAAGATGATCATATTTCTAAAAAGCAACCTCAGTCATACAGCTTGGGAAACATACAAACAAATGAGAAATTCCTATAACCTGCCTGTTAAACTATTACTTATGAGGAATTACAGCAAAAATATTGTATTTACATCTTATAATAATCAACATAAGCATTTGCTTGAAACATTGTTTGGAATATTATAAATCACATCTGACTAAATAAAAGTAACTTACACCTGTATTTTGCATAGCATGGTGAAAGATTGTGGTTTGGGCACACTGTTTTGTAGTGTATGTGATCTTAGCTATTGATGTTACAAAGTGGTTCTCCTATTCAGTACAATAAGGCACATAATAATTTCAATTACATCACTCTTTACTAGCCAAACATGAGCTTCCAGTACATAGAAACAATTATGCTTCAAAGCTTACAACCATAGGAAAAGTGGTCTCATTAAGTACTGTTGTTCTAACAAAGGTTTCAGATTTGCAGTTACCAAACTTCCATGAATTCTCAGTTGCTCTTCTATCATAATGTGAAAGAAAAGGTTATGTGAAAAGGTTATTTGTGGTGAGTGAAGGAGTATACATCTAAACTAAACAACCTGTCACACATTCTACTGCTATATGAGGGCTACTCCATTTATTTGCTTCACACTTCCAAGCAGCACTGAAGAGACAAAATGCAAATTCAGCCAATACTAGAGGAAGACCTAGAAAATGTAAAGAACAGTGTGTAGTGTAAGACATTGTTTTTGACATGTTAAGGACAAGGAGAAAAGTTCATGGTAATGAACCACCCTCAATGACAAAAAATAAATTGTTCCCCCAGAAAAGAGCATTTACTATGAAAATCTAATCTATCTGAAAGACCCAAGTCCAAAACTATCAAGAAGGGAGTCTGACAGTGAAAACAAAGACAATGGAAGTGAAACCCAAACTAACAAAGGAAAGAGTGAAGTGCAGAGTAGATCATTGTAATAGTTTGTCATCACTGCCACAAATAGGTGTGATGATTGCCATTTCCAGTTTGATCCGAACAACTTGGCAGAGTTTGGCCAGGTTCTTGAATTTAACACACTTAGGGTTAATATTCTGTAAAAATTAGTGAATAATTCATATGCCATAAACGGGTTACTTTGAATACGTTTTATTGGGAAAACTTTGTCACTTGAAAGATAATCAGTAAACTTAATTTCTATATTATCAAAACATGGGGCTTAGGCATACCTTTCTTTTCTATAAGTTATTAGATCATATCCCAAGTGTATGAAAGATTTTTATGCTGTTCAAAGTAATTCCAAAAGTGGGACTATATTGAACAGACTTTTGTGTTTTGAAAAAATTTTGTAAATCTTCTGAAGCAACATTAAACACTTAATCTTGTAAAATGACCAGTTAATAAGACACAAAAATGCATTATACTGCTAACAGCATATCTCTTCTACATCTAAAACCCTGTAAAATACCCGCTTGTTGATAGGTTTCACATTTTCATCTCGCATAATTTTGATGATATCTCTCCAAAAGTACATTTCATCTTTAACTCTTAGCCATATCCATCCTTGTGCCTTATACTTAGTAAGAACACTGACAGAGGTAACCTTTCCAGTAAATTTGGAAACTTCATAATCAACCATCACAAACTGCTCAGCAGTGACATTCATTTTCAAATTTTTTGCTGCTGATCCTGGAGGAGGTCGTACTGCTGAGTCACCTTGACCAGCTTTATCTGCAGAACTGCATTCTGCACAAGGCTCCCAATTTCATTTTCTGGCTGTACAATTAGCTGGGCTAGATGAAGACAAAAGAATGTCTCTCTGTAATGTTATTTTTATTGTAGAATGAAATATTTAAAACTGTTGTACCAAATGCTAAAAACTAGAGATCCAATAGCCTAATATTTATGATAAAAAATCATGCTTGATATCAGATGTTTTGTTCTCATAGTACTTTAAATTAGTCCATTATAGCAGATTTTTTTTTTACAATGCAAAACAAAATGAACAATTAACAACATTGTTGCAACAATGAAGATGTTATTTATGGTGAATTTCTAGTATCGAACAAGACTTGTTGCATGTGGAAGATATGTTATTTTTAACATCCTTTGATTTTATATTCATAATAGACGAGTTAATTTAAATTTGGGAAGAAAACATCATAAATATTAAGCATATTGGTTCCATTGCTTAACTAGCTTTAGGCATTTATGATCATAACATTAAGTTATTTTGGTTGTTTGAAATATTAATTCAAATTTGTAATTTTAATTTTGCTATGGTAAACAGCATAAAATATTCCTTGTTTGGAAATATCTCAATAACTTAAGACATCCTATTAAGCTTGGCATACAGATAAAAGGTTCAGCAGAGTTTACTTGCTGTTATGGTGTAGTTGTATATATATTGTTACTTACCATTAATTTGAGCATTCATACATGCATTTCCAATTGCTTCTGCTGAACACTCAAGTCCAATAACTTTTTTAACTTTCTGGTAAAAAAAATACATTAAAAACTCTATTAAAGTATTCTAGCTATGTTACAGAAAATAATACTTTACATAGGAGAATAAACATTATTAATAACCAAAGTCCAATTTAAAACTATGCAGTGACTCTCAAGATCTCAAAAAATAAATCAAAACAAGAGTTTGTAATGAAATGCTCATAATAGTCTTTCTATCATGTCTTAATTACAAGACTTTTATCCAGATTTCAAAACTGCTTTTTACAATGTATATTTTGATTTGAAAATAAAACAAAAAATTATTATACATAATGTTAATTAAACTTCATATGAAATCAGAATAGAAGTATTAAGTTAATTACATTGTTCATGAAAGCATTAATTCTGTTGTATATTCATTAACCCCTATGCATTTTGGAGGGGGGGTCAAAGTGCACGTCACAATCTTTTTTTTACAGTTCCATTCAAAATATAATTAAATAAATTTATCAACTGTGAATGAGCTTAGCATCAAAACACATCTTATAATTAAATTTTTTATATTATCTAAGCTTTAATTTCTTCATAACGAAATAATAAATTCTCAATCTACACTTCTCTGTGTCATGTGACATATCCAAATTCCAAATTGCCCATTTTAGATTATCTTTCCATCCTTATATAATTTCCTGAGTGTCTAACTAATTAGAAACATATACTAAATACTAACAAGCCAAAATATAAACTTGGAACCTGAAATATTCTTGTTTTACTATGATTGAAAAAAAAATTTGAAGCCCATATTAACACATCCCTCCCATATTATTCTATCTTTTGAAAAATGTCAGTAATTTCCTTTGAGATTGCTATTGGATTATTTATAACTAGCTTTTTCTTCACATGATTCTTGATTAATTATTTCTTTTTGCCACCCATATGTAGAGATTTAGCTTCAGTTTCATTGGTTGTAATCATGTTTTTCTGCTCTGAGCAGCAAACAGAATTTTGTTAACCTATTTATAACTTAGTTAGAAAGCCAGTTAAATTAAAGTAGTTTTGGGACATTATATATAGTTCTGTGTCTTAAAATGCATATTTAAAAATAACATAAATTAGTTTGTAGAGAAACTGTATCTGAAGAACTACCTATACCATAGTCGGAAGGCATAAAGGTAGAAGGTTGGGGCCTACATAGTCTGGAATTGAAAAACACCCCTAAATGGATGGGGTACTGTGTGGAAGTAAGAATAGACTTCTTTTTTATAAAAAACTCAGCTCTCGTAGCTTCTGCTTAGAGAGAATGAGTGTGAAGTTCTACCAAGTGGCGAGAAGGGGCAAGAAGAAGCCAATCATCCATGTACTGGGTGAAAAGAGCCATTGAAAGGAAAGAAACGACTCTATTATAAACTGAGGAGGTTAGATGAAGTGATTAAAATGAAAAAAGTCAATGACAGGTTGCCAATCATCTGTATTTTCTGGTACTACAAACAGCCTCGATTATCAACCCTTGAGATAGGAGTTGATGCCCTCTTGTGTCAAAGATCTTGGATGGCTTGAGCTAGACAGCTGGATGTAAAATGATGCTTGAGGACTGGAAAACCAACACAAGGGCAATTCCAACCTTACCAAAGGGTATCCTCCTCTGGAGTGAAATGCAGACTATAGGGTCAGGTCCTGTGGGGACTCAACTATGAGGGTTCACATCAGTACGGAAACTTTCACCACAGATCAGTTGGGCATTCAAGTTCTCATGAGAGGATTGGTCATTCAGTACATGTCTCTTCCTCCATTGTCTCATACCAGTTCCAATTGATTGTGGCGCCAATGCAGAAAGTCTAGAAACCTGAATGGGAGATACAGGAAACTGTCCTCTAGAAGACCTTTTGGACAGTCAAGAAGCTAGAGTAGAAAGGAAAGAGTGAAAATGGGCCACATCCATGAAAGATTCCATGGAATCAGGGATATCAACAAAAGAGTTCTAAGGGTCAAAGCAGAAAAGTGAACTCCCTCCAGCAAGGCATCTTTATCCAAAAGATCCAAACAACAAACCAACCAAAATACCAAAAGAGGACAGAAGTCAATAACCTGACCAATGTAGAAGTCAAGAAAAGACTAAGATCATCCAAAAATTGCTCAAGAGATCTGTGATAATCCCCAGAGAACAGATGCAAAGATGGTAAAAAAACACAAAACTGTTGCAAGTGACAGAGAAATTCAGGAAAACTGAGATTGGTTAAGGTGAACTGGGAAATCTTGTCTATAGCCCCAAATAGTAAAAAGAGGATCTAGCTATTGAGAGTCCAAATAAGGGTGCTCCAGGCAATGGAAAGCCAAGGCATGCTGATCCAATAAACAGGAAGGACGTGGCATGGCAGTACCCTCCATCAAATGATGAGCAAATCTCCTTGCATACATAGCAATGTCTAGCAATGGTGGAAGGACCAGGTAAGCATACAAACGATCCCCCCCCCAAGTAAAGGAGAAGATTTGTAAGCTACAGGAGAAATACTTAATAACATTACAAGCTTGGTGTACTAGTTGCAAAAAAAGGTGCAGGAGGTGGAATGTCTGTCCGAAGCTTGATCACTTGCAAACTCAGCCTCAAAGCTAACATGAGAAAAAACATCAGACTGCATGTAATACTCTACCTCTATGCATCTGAAGAACTATATGTCCTCTATGGAAGTTGTCCCCCCTCCCCCAGACAACACCAGAATCATGAAATGTTAGAGGAGGCAGAGCATCAGGCAATTCCTGGTCTGAAATGTTAACGTGTGCATTTGTATTCGAAATATGTCTCCAATTTTTTTTAGTAAAGAGCCATTAGAACAGGTTTAAAAGAAATTGTCAAAACATGTAATAATAATGCTGAAAAGAAACCCGCAGTAATCACGTAAGACCATTGTCATAATTTCTGCTTTCGAGAAAAAGTGAATAACGGAGAGCTTATATACAGATCTTCGGTGACGAGGAACCCACTTTGAGACTAATAATGGCTGAAGATGGCTTGAATGGGTAATGAAGAAAAACTTTAATATAAGTTTAACATAACAGCAAATGTACAACGTTTCGACAAGGTTTTGTCATCATC